AACCTTTGGTCGACAACATTTCACAATAACTTCAATTAATAATGATTGACACAACAAATCTAATTAAATAAGATTATGACTCAAAGAACACCCAAAAGTTCAGGGTAAAGTATCAGATAAGTAGAGATGAACGATGCAAAGTTTACCCGTGGTCAATAGTATCTCAAAATTTATATATTATGACAATGAATATTAATGCTAGAAAAATAACCGATTATGACTAAAATAAGATAAAGAGATTTAAAACATATATCAAACTTGAAATATTTGAAATAACTGGAGTAATCTCAAAATAAAATCAACATTTACTTCATAGAACTATGAAATAATAAGAAATTAATCAATGACGATAAGATAATTATCTCTGAGAAATCATAGTGCTATCAATTAATCCATCAAAAAATTAAAATACATGAGTGTCGTTCCACTAAGGACAACGGTAGGTAACTGTTATTACCGATAACAACGCTAGCTATCGAGGACATCCGCTCCCACCTTTTCCCCAAAAGTTGAGAACCCTCCCGACCATGTCACATAGGAGTAAAAAAAAATCATAGAAAGACTACTTGGGGAAAATGCATAAGTAATTTTGTGAACTGCCAATCCTACTATACCCATCACTCTGTCTCAACGTTGAAACTTGTATACCTATTGTCATAACCGTAAATAGTTACCGCAAGAGGGGTTAGATCATAATTGTTCGCCAGTGGAGGTACCTAGACCTCTCTTTGAGGCATGTTCATATCTACATACTCCAGTACCCCCGTATGGTGTATAATGAAGTGCCTCGCTGAAGTGTAGTGACTTACTCCACTGTCATCGATCGATTGAACCAAATGTCTCTCTAGAATATCATATCTCCCGATATTCAAAGACTTACTAAAAACAAGCCGGTCGGCCAGAACCCGGTGTTTTTCCAGACGGACAGACTCTCAAAATTACACCCGGCTAGTTCTTAATATTTGGACAAAATGATAGAAAAAGTAAGGACAGAGCAAACACGAGCAAAACCAAGTGTGAGACTACCAAAAGGGGAGTTCAAAAGCCTACTTCTCAAGTTCTCATGAAAATCACAACAAAATAAATTAAAATAGAAGTGTTAGTGGGCGGGGCTCGCTGCTTTTATCCTATTTGGTCCGATTCACAAACGAAAACAGTGTACAAAATGAACCTAGTATACAGGTAGGAACATGTTAGTACCATCATAATCCCTAAGCTTTCCTTACGCTCCTACACATTGTGAACCCATTGAGCATAGCCCGAAGTGCACTACTTCCGCAGCCTTGGTCAAACTGGACAGGGCACCGAAAGGGGGGAGAGAAGGGGG